ATAGTCTTCCTATCAGTCTTCTGTACAGTGATGGATCAGGCAACAACTCCCCTTCATTTTTGCTGAGCTTTACATTCTGATCAAGATGAATTCTAGCAGGGGCTGAACCAATGGTGCCTGAGTCTGCTAGGATGTCAAGGGCATACTTCCTTTGACATATATGAATCCCTTTCTTAGATCTTGCTACCTCAATGCCTAGAAAGTATTTCAATCTTCCTAGGTCTTTGATTTTGAATTTGTAATTGAGCGAGACTCTGAGTTTATCAATGGTAGTGATGCAATTACCAGCCACAATTATGTCGTCTACATATACGAGAATAGCAGTAAAAGAACTATCAGTTAACTTAGTAAATAGACTATAATCTGCCTTAGATTGAATGTACCCTTGTTTAGTGATAAAGCTGGAGAGTTTTGAATACCATTGGCGTGACGCTTGCTTCAGCCCATATAGACTCTTCCGTAACTTACAGACTTTATTCTACTGACACTTGAGTATCCAGGAGGCAGCTCCATGTATACGTCTTCATCTAAGTCACCATGTAAGAAGGCATTATTTACGTCGAATTGACACAAGTTCCATCCCTTGATTGCTGCCACTGCAAGCAAGGTTCTGATGGTAATCAGCTTGGCTACAGGAGAAAAAGTCTCGTGATAGTCAAGTCCTTCTTGTTGAGTATATCCCTTGGCCACAAGACGCGCCTTGTACCTTTCAACACTACCATTGGCATTATACTTGATTTTGTATACCTACTTACACCCTATAGCTTCCTTATCAGGTGGTAGATTGGTCAAAAACCAAGTATTATTAAGCTCTAGAGCATCAATCTCAGCCTTTATTGTAGCACACTACTCAGGGAAATTTTTGGCTACTTGGTAAGTTTTAGGTTCAGGATGATTTATTATTGAGGTTGCAAAGGTGCGGTGAGGAGTGGATAATCTGGCATAGGAAATGCTATCACTGAGGGGGAAAATACTACCTGTTATAGCAGCTTCCCTTTGGCTGTTGAGCTCCTGAGATGGGAGAGATGAAGAGGCCTGTTGGCATATGAAATCTTGCAAGTGAGGAGGAGTCTTTTGAATTCTGTTTGATCTGCGATGTAGGTGAGTGACAACAGGAGATTTTGATTCCAGAATATCAGTGAGAGATTGTGCTATATCATGATTGATTTGCTCCTGAAAATTAGAAGACTCTGTGCTGACCGGACAGTTTGAAGTATTATGGTTAAGATGCTGATCTTCAGTTTTGTCAAATGAGGAGATTACAGAATCATTGATAATTGGATTCAGTCGAAAACTTAGGTGATCAAAAGCCTTTGAAGGAGTAATCTCATTGGTTTTGATGCCTTTAAAAGGAAAAATGCTTTCATGAAAAACTACATTTCTTGAAATAAAGATCCTTTTTGTTTTTAAATCAAGTAGTCTATATCCCTTGGTAGCAAAAGGGTAACCAATGAAGACGCACTCTCTGGACCTGGGGTCAAACTTGTGTCTACCATTGACAAGAGTAGTGGCAAATGCAAGACACCCAAAAACTCTTAGATGGCTATACTTTGGCTTGGTTTGAAACATAATTTCAAAGGGGTTTTTCTGGTCCAAGATAGGCGTTGGTGTTCTATTTATGAGATAAACTGCTATCATTACGAAATCATTCCAGTACTTTGAAATCTCAAGGCTCTTGCCACATTTAAGATATGTTGATGTTTTCTTTACACAACAGCATTTTGTTCCGTTGTTTCAACACAGGTTCTTTGGTGTATTATGCCATTTTCTTTGTAAAATCTGGTCATGTTAAACTCCCCACCATTGTCTGATCTTATGGTTTTAATTCTTGCTTCAAATTGAGTTTCAATCAAGGTATAAAAGTTTTGTAAAGCAATGCTTGCATCGGATTTAAAATTTAACATATAAATCCATGTGCTTCGACTGAAATCATCTATTATAGATAGGAAATATCTTGAACCATCCCTACTGGACTCGTTACAGGGTCCCCATATGTCACAGTGGATTAACTCAAAACATTTTTTGGCTTTGTGATGACTAACATTAAAAGGCAATTTGTGTTGTTTTGCTAGAGGAAAGACAGAACAATAACTGATACTAGAGGACGCAGGGATATGAATGTTTCCATCAGAACTGAAATCTGAATATGAGGAACGGCCTAATCTGTAGTGCCATAAATCAAATTCCTGGTTATTCTTAGTGATAGATGCAGAGGAAGAAGGTAGACATTTGAACTAATTGAGGACTTGTGATAAGGCTGAAGGAGGGACTTGCGTTCTCACCATGTGGTACAATCCATCTTTCACCTCACCCATTCCAGTCGTTCTCCAGGTCAAAAGGTCCTGGATATAACAACAGTTAGAAAAGGAAACAAGGCAACAGTTTAGTGATTGGGCTAGTTTCTTTGCTGAAATTAAGTTGAAAGTAAAACTAGGAATGCAAAGCACATTATGCAAAGTAATGGATTCTGAGATTTTCACAGTTCCCACATGGGTTACTGGGGCATTTTCACCATTAGGTAGAGCCACAGAATAAGTCACATTGGTTTGGATAGATGTAAAAAAGAGGGTGGAGCAGATCATGTGATCTGTTGCTCCTGTATCAATGATCCATGGTGTTTCAGAAATGTTTCCATGGTTGTGATGAAAGGTAGTTAAGCTTAGCGGTATACCAGACAATTTATGGTTGAAATCATCTGATGGAGGAGAGTTAGCAGGTGGCTTGACATTGTTTGATGAAGAGGTGAATGCTTGAAGGTTTGCTGCTGGTCTGAGAAGTGCCATCAGCTGAGAGTATTGCTCATTGCTTAAGATTACTTGACCTTTGTCCTTCACCATTTCCTGATTAGGTGCAGCTGATTTCCCTTTGTCATTAGACCTGTGACCAGGTGGAAACCCATGAAGCTTATAGCACTTATCCTCTGAATGTCCTAGCATTTGACAGTAGGAGCAAACTGGCCTATTTGGATTTGCCTTGAATCATCTTTCAAGGGAATGACCTGTTATTTTGCAGTAAGAGCAATAGTATTTATCCTTTTTCTGTGGTGAAAAATTATGGTTCGCTCCTTCTCTGAAGTTCCTTCTACTTAGGAAGGCCATAGGATCAGAGTTAACAAGTCCTGGGTTGGATATTTCTCGCCTCTTTTCTTCTTGCTGGACCAAAGAATATACCTCATTTAAGCTAGGAAGCGGTTTAATCAGCAAGATCTGAGCCTTAATTTCCTTGTAAGAGTCATTTAGCCCCATTAGAAACTTCATAACCCAGTCCCTTTGTTGGTTTTGGATTACTGTCTTCAGGCCCCCATAGGTGCAGCTGGGAATACTTTCATAATTCATCAGCTCATCTAGCAGAATTTTGAGCTTGGAGTAGTAAATGCTCACGGGATCTTGGTTTTGCATCAAGGTTGTGATATCCTTTTTAACTTCAAAAATACGTGGTGCATTTTGCTGAGAAAATCGCTGCTCAACATCAAGCCAAAGAAGGTGTGCCGTTTCAGCATAAATGGTGCTACTCTTGATGTCAATTGCCATAGCATTTTGCATCCATGTTATCACAATGTCATTACACCTAAGCCAATGCTCCATCAATGGGTCATTTGGATCGTTTGGTTCACATAAAGTTCCATCGATAAATCCTAATTTGTTTTTGATTCTTAATGCCCTTCTCATTGACCAAGCCCAGGAGTAATAATTGGTGGACTCTAAGGCGTGAGTGACCAGCATCAGGGCACCTCCATTGTTGCTCCCAATGTAGTAACGACTACTGGGGTTTGTAGGGTCACGAACAAGAGTGCTGGAATTCCTTTCATCAGCTTGCCGTGAACCTTGGTTTGATCTGGATTGATGTTTACATTTGTAGGAGTGTTTGATTCCTCCATTTCATGCTCTGATACCATGTTAGATTTGCAAAGCTAGATTTTGATATAAATGAACTGGGAGTCGATGGAAGCTATAATTTGGAATGAAGCAGAAAATGATTTCTATTAATTCTTAAGTCTGTACTGAGAATTGTCGTAATTAGGAGGGAAACTTTCTTGTGTATTGATTGGTTGAAAAAATACAAGTACAAGTATATACAGGATGAAAAGAAAAGAAAAGGGAAATTGCACTATAGTCCCT